CCCATTTCGGCACACCCCTCACACGCTTCGTGGCTCCATAGGGAGCTCCACCGAAGGCCCCAGTGCCCGCGCCCGCATGCGTCACCCACACCCATTTCGGCACACCCCTCACACGTTTCGTGGCTCCATAGGGAGCTCCACCGAAGGCCCCAGTGCCCGCGCCCGCATGCGTCACCCACACCCATTTCGGCACACCCCTCACACGTTTCGTGGCTCCATAGGGAGCTCCACCGAAGGCCCCAGTGCCCGCGCCCGCATGCGTCACCCACACCCATTTCGGCACACCCCTCACACGTTTCGTGGCTCCATAGGGAGCTCCACCGAAGGCCCCAGTGCCCGCGCCGCCGCAGACCCCGAAGGCCCCAGTGCCCGCGCCCGCATGCGTCACCCACACCCATCGGCACACCCCTCACACGTTTCGTGGCTCCATAGGGAGCTCCACCGAAGGCCCCAGCGCCCGCGCCCGCATGCGTCACCCACACCCATTTCGGCGCACCCCTCACACGTTTCGCGGCCCCATAGGGAACTCCAGCGAAGGCCCCAGTGCCCGCGCCCGCATGCGTCACACACATCCAATTCGGCACACCCCTCACACGCTGCGTGGCCCCATAGGAGCTCCGCCGACTGCCCCAGCGCTGCCGCCTGCACGCGCCACCCACACACAATTCGGCACACCCGTCACACGGTTCGTGGCCCCATAGGGAGCTCCACCGAAGGCCCCAGTGGCTGCGCCCGCATGCGGATCCACCCCCCATTCTGGCACACCCCTCACACGCTTCGTGGCCCCATAAGGAGCTCCACCGGAGGCCCAGTGACTGCGCCAGCATGCGGTTCCGCCCACCATTCCGGCACACCCCTCACACGCTTCGTGGCCCCATAGGGAGCTCCACCGAAGGCCCCAGTGGCTGCGCCCGCATGCGGTTCCACCCCCATTCTGGCACACCCCTCACACGTTTCGTGGCCCCATAGGGAGCTCCACCGAAGGCCCCAGTGGCTGCGCCCGCATGCGGTTCCACCCCCCATTCTGGCACACCCCTCACACGTTTCGTGGCCCCATAGGGAGCTCCACCGAAGGCCCCAGTGGCTGCGCCCGCATGCGGTTCCACCCCCCATTCTGGCACACCCCTCACACGTTTCGTGGCCCCATAGGGAGCTCCACCGAAGGCCCCAGTGGCTGCGCCCGCATGCGGTTCCACCCCCCATTCTGGCACACCCCTCACACGTTTCGTGGCCCCATAGGGAGCTCCACCGAAGGCCCCAGTGGCTGCGCCCGCATGCGGTTCCACCCCCCATTCTGGCACACCCCTCACACGTTTCGTGGCCCCATAGGGAGCTCCACCGAACGCTCCAGTGGCTGCGCTCGCATGCGGTCCCACCCCCTCATTTCGGCACACCCCTCACACGCTTCGTGGGTGGCTCCATAGGGAGCTCCACCGAAGGCCCCAGTGGCTGCGCCCGCATGCGCTTCCGCCCACCATTCTGGCACACCCCTCACACGCTTCGTGGCCCCATAGGGAGCTCCACCGAAGGCCCCAGTGGCTGCGCTCGCATGCGGTTCCACCCCGTTTTTTTTCGGCACGCCCTTCGCACGTCTCGTGGCCCCATAGGGAGCTCCACCGAACGCCGCAGTGGCTGCGCTCGCACGCGGTTCCACCCCCCATTTCGGCACACCCCTCACACGTTTCGTGGCTCCATAGGGAGCTCCACCGAAGGCCCCAGTGGCTGCGCCGGCATGCGGTTCCACACCCCATTCTGGCACACCCCTCGCACGCTTCGTGGCCCCATAGGGGGCCCCACCAAAGGCCCCAGTGGCACTGCCCGCTTGCGTCCGCCACCACCCAGCACAGCCTTTGTTCCCTGCGCTTCGCCCACCCAGAACAGCGCTTCGTAGCCCTATAGGGAGCTCTTCCAAAGGTCCCAGCGGCACCGCCCGCATGCGTCCGCCACCACCCTGCGCAGCCCTTGCTCCCTGCCTGCGTTTCACACACCCAGTACAGCGTTTCGTGGCCCCATAGGGAGCTCCACCGAAGGCCCCACTGGCACCGCTCGCATGCGTCCGCCACCACGCAGCACAGCCTTTGCTGACCGCGTCTCACCCAGCGCTTCGTGGCCCCATAGGGAGCCCCACCGAAGGCCCCAGTGGCACCGCCCGCATGCGTCCGCCACCACCCAGCACAACTGCGGCATTCACAAATGCATATGGTTGGCTCCTTCGCCAGGCTATTTTTACCATCTCGGTCAACCTTGCGAAAAGAATGCCAGCGGCGAATCTGGCGCGCAGTCCAACCCTTGTCCAACCGCTGTTGCATTGTACCTGGGTCAATGCAACGACGAGCCAATCCGGCGTCCGAGTAGCCAGCGAGGCGCTGTATTTCGCCTGCTGCATATTATTCACGCGGTTGTTCCCCTTGAAGCGGGCGCCCCCGCAGACGCCCCCTCCTCGGGGGAGCGTCGGTCGGACGACGCGCCGTGCTCTACGAACTGGCCTCCACCTGCGTTTATGTTTCTGGCGCCCTGAGAGCAACAATTGCGCCTGTTGCTCTCCCGCGAGGTACGCCGGCATATCGGAGTAGTCCAGGGCAGCAACCTCGTCGCCCGAAGACGCGTCGGCGTCAGTCAGGTTGCCCCGCTGAGCCCATTAGGGCTGCAGCTGGCGCGGGGGGGGCGCCGCTTCGGGCGGCCCCCGAAACCTGGCCCAGGAGTCTTGCGACCCCGAAACTGGTCCACCATTCTGAGCCAGTAGTGGTCTCAGTTGGTTGCGGATCGTCATTCCTCACGTTGCTAGCAGGCTGCCCCGCGTTTGCCTCGACGTGGAAGGTATCGGTTCGGTGACCGCGACTGACAATGCCACCGGTATGACCAGGGGTTCTCTCAGCAATGTGTGCGCATGACCTCGTGCGCTCAAGTAGAGTGGAACGGTTGCTGGCCCCTCGGCATGCGGTGGTTTAGCGGCTGCAGGAGTTGCTGTGCACGCGATGTCCCCACTCCAAGGGCTCTAAATGACTGTGAGGATTTGGAAGTTGGGGAAGTTAAAGCCTGCTGCTTCAGCCCCATAGCGGGCCATCTCGAAGCATGCCAAAATATGGTCGATCCGTTCTCCCGAATAGGCTCGGAAGTCAATGGGAGCTGTCCCAGAGTTGAGTTGGCGCTCCTCTTCTAGATTCTCGATCTTCGTGCTTACGAGGAACATGATGTCGGTGGCGCCGTCGGTGCGGCGGCCACCTATGTTAACACCGAAATTGGTAACCGCTGGGGGAACTCTCGTGGCTATGGTCCGCGCGAGGCCTCCCAAGCCTCGCTGAAAAGGCTGCAGCTTGTTGGGAGGGCGTCACGTTGCCTGTGGTCACGTTGATCCAGACATGTACCTCGCGGACGAATTCGCGGAACGGTACTTGACCGGACGGGTCCCAATGCGGGCCGGTCGTTCTTGTGTCGTCTCCGCCGCGCATATGTCCTACCGCGCTCCCGATAGCGACCCATGCAAACCCAAACCTAGTAATGCCAATCCAATGGCCTCGCAGGCCGTGGTCGGATGTAGTCGGGCGGGGTATCATACGTGGTCGTAAGCCTACGTGGGGTGGAGGCGGCACAATGTAGTATCGCATGTTTCCGTGCGGTGTGTCTTCGAACAAGTTTCCAATTTGAGTAGGTGGGTGGACTTCAGGAGTGTCGTAGCGCAGGGATGTAGGGCGCAAGTAAGAGGCCTCCGCGTAGGCAGAGGTGTCACTGCAAGTGTCCTCGCTATGCTGCGTAGTTGTATGCATTTCTCCGCGCAAACCCACTGCACCCTGATGTCCCACCACGTCGGTAGTCCACCAGATAGTGCCGTGGATGGTGAGGAGTAGAACTAGAACTGACCACTATAGGTCAGCTCCGCTACCAAATTTAAAAAGGGCTGGGAAGCCCAACCAACAGCTTCGCCTTAGACGAAGCCCAGCTCCCGCTCTGTTGTACCTTAGTAACGGTAGTCCCGGTAGAACGGGGGGGCATCTCAAGCAGTTTCGGTATCGATGGCAAATGGTACACCTCGCGCTGATGTGTAGTCAGATCTGGGCGGCGGGCCGCTTTGAGCCAAGCCGCCGCGGATGCACGCTCGTTCCCACCCACATGCAACGCCCAGCTCACTTTAATCTGCCACCCTCCTGGGGCTGCCAAAGTTATGATGTGTTATGAGTATGGTGGACTGCTAACTTGCATCATATGGAATGCTGGTTGTTGGTAGTGTCGATCGATTATCTGGCCCCTGGCGCCTAATGAAAGCAACGCAGATACGGGGGTGCGGCCCCTAAAATTACTGGGTATACCTAGGCTGTCCCAAGATTTCAATCGCCAAGAAAGCCAGAAAAATCTCGAAAACGGTTCCCGGAGGAGAGCCTCCGACGACTGCCCTATGCATCCAAGATGACTCAGGTGGGCCCCAAGACGCCGCTAAGAGGAGCAGGACACTGGGAAAACCAGAGTGGTTTCAATATTTGTTGCCTGTGCCATGCTTTGCTCCCGAGATGTCAAAAGATCGTTTCAAGACGGCCCCAAAGCGCCCCCGATATTGCCCAGGGCGGCCACAGGTGACTCCCGAAGGCCACAAGATGCCGCCCGTTGCCGAGGAGCGGCCCAACAGGGCCCCAATGTGGCCACAAGACGCCCTCAGCATAGGACCGTGAGGCCCACAGTTAGCCTGGAAGTTGCCCGAGAAAGCCCGAAGATGGCCTCGTGGGCTCTGAGATGCCCCTGGAAGGCCCCGGTCCATGATGGCTTAAGGCGGCCCCCAACATGCACCACTATGGCCACAGAGCGGCTCAGCCTGGCGGGGGGCGCGGCGGAGGCAAATGCAGCCGTTCATTTCACAAGAACCGTCGAGAGAGCGCAGGTACTACTCCCAACAGGGACATCTCGGGATTCACGCCCCTGCTTGCTGCCTGAGAAACACGCGCGCCCCTGGTCCCGTCAATGCTCGCCCCGCGTCTCTCTCCATTCCCTGCGCACGAACATGTTTGAATCTAGCAAGAAGAACGACATGCAGATGGGCCAATTGGCAGCGGACAGCCAAAAGCGCGGACAAGCGGGCAATCCTGCGCACGGTACATGTAGAACGAATGCCTGACGCGACGACGACGACGACGAAAGGGCGACAGAGGCGAGGGCGAGGGCGATACCGACTGCCGCGGGCGAGACGACGATGGCGACGACAAGTGTGCAAAGGCATCTCTACCGATGGCGACGTCAATCGACAACGCTCAGGGGAAGGCAGGAACTGGGAGAAGCAGGACAACGGACCCGGCAAGCTGAAATTGAATAGTAAACACATGTCCAACCAATCGGAATAAGCATTAATACCCTAAACCGAGAAACAAATTGCGGGACTGCCGACCCACAACTCACCGCCCAATCAATGGGGTAGACCGCCTGCGCATTCCGTATGCAACAGAAACCATATCGTCGACATAACAAGAAGGAATGTCCAACATCGCCATGCAACGCCGTATAGAGCCAGGGTGTAGACTACCCTACGGCTCGGCTGGAGCGCTACGGTAGCCTGGGGTAGGCTGCTTCGCAGGGTTGTGGGACAAACCCACATGGACCTGTAAAGTTGTGTGGAGAAGAATCTTATATAGATCGCCCAATCATGGAAGACGTATGGGGATCACTCCGCATGACATTCGAGCCGCGTTGTCCGACCACCGAACCACCAAACCAAGGCAACAATGGAAACAACAACCTTTACACCAAATATGGCGCAATCCAGGCGCCAAACAACACGAACAACACCGCACACGAAGGGAAACCACAAACGACCACGAACCGTGGGGGAGGGGAGGCGAGAAGTTACAGCATCCAAGATGGCCCGCGATTGTTCCAGGAGGGCCTCAGGTATCCCAAGCTGGCCTGTCAGATGGCACAATGCCTCCTTTGATAGCTCAAGGCGGCCTGCTGAGTGTGTCCAAGAGGCCCCGAAATCCGCACCAAGACAGCCCCGCATGGCCATGGAGCCTCTCGAAGCTACGCCCTAGAGCCACAAGAAGACCCCAACAACTCCCAAATGAGCCCCAAAATACGTCCAATATCACCCCACGAAACCTCTGGGAGATCAATGTACGCCCTTATGGTATCTAGTCCTGGCTTATTTGCGTCAAGGTATGATTAAATACTCCCCGTTGCCCCAAAACGAAGATTGGCATTGTTTCTGGATGGTGGGGATACGCGCAATTTCAAATAATTGGGGCACTAAACGATCACAACTCGTGTCGTATCTGAATTTCGTCCGTCCGAACGATATCCATCCAACCCACGTGCGCCGATCCTTTATGCCGCTCTGTATTTCGTCTTCTTTTCCCAAAAAATGCCGCCTCAGCAATGTCACTGCATTAACGGAATATGGCACGGAACTACAATTATCGATCGGAGCACCGCGCAAGCTTCATGGATCGGCGCTGTCTCATGCGCCAGGGAAGCGCCGAAAGCGCCGCCAGGGGGTTCCAGCGTTCCCCAGAATTTCCGGGAATTCCACGGGCGTGTCGCGCGCGTCCTCAGGTGGCGCAGCCGGCCAAACATGGGCCCAAAAAGCGCCCAAGAGGGCCGAAGATGTCTCCGAGAACCCCAGAACGGCCCAAGAGGCCCCCAAGACGGCCCCAAGACGGCCCCAAGACGGCCCAAGAGGCCTCCAAGTCGCCCAAGATGGCCTCCAAGACGGCACCCCAAGAGGGCCCCAAGTCGGCCCAGAGAGGCCCCCAAGACGGCGTCCGACGGCGTCAGACGGGTCAGGAGACCACCAAGACGGCCAAAGAGGCCCCCGAAAAGCCCCCGAAGGCCCCCCAAAGGCCTCACAGAGGGCCCTAGAGTTGTCTCCACGAGGCTCCCAGGATACCCCAAGAGTGACCCCAGATGCTCCCCCTCCTCCTCCACCTCTTCCTCTTCCTCCCCCTTCACCTCCTCCTCCGCCTCCTCCTGGTCTTCCCCGCCATCCTCCCCCATGTGTTCCCCGAAGGGTTTCCACAACGGCTGGGGGAAGACATGGTCCGATAACTTGGCAGAGCTCTTACCGCAACGCTCGGCCACATGGGCGATTCTAGAAGGCAAGGGACGGCGGTGATTCGCCGTAGGCGTCTTCGATCCGCCGCCCCCTGTTGATTTATTGCAGGAGGCCGAGGCCGCGGCCCACCCGGAAGGCTGCGTTGGCGGTGGCTGCACAGGGTTTCCTGGTCGCCACATTCGCCCAATGTTCCCAGAAGGCATCCAAGACGGCCCAAGAGAGTCCAAGATGCCTTCAAGTTCACCCAAGAAGTCTCCAAGACGGCCTCAAAGGTCCCCTAAGAGGTCTCCAAGACGGTCCAAGAGTCCTCCAAGAGGTCGTAGGAGGGCCCGAAGAGGCCAAGTCATGGATGTTCCCAAAGGTATTTCAAGGATTTGGGCATTTGCTTCTTTTCGGCATTCCGACGGCCCACGACGGCCTAAGAGGCTCCCAAGACTGCCCCAAGATCTTCCAAGAAGCCTCCAAGATGGCCC